GGAAGTTACCGAGAGAGCAGATCCCGCCCTACCGACGGGTACACAAGGTGAGGAAAGTTCAGCAGAACACGTATCATCGGGGGACCCCCTCCGTTAGTCGGTGTCTGGGCGCAGTTGGTAAGTTGGATCTGGCAATCTCGCAGATTTTGCTGATCCCGCTACACCACAAGATACCATCACTAGCTTACACTATAGTGTGGAGGAAGCTCGCAATAGTAAAACCAAGTCTTAGGTTTGTGTCAAATTCAACTCTGATTTATTTAGGACCAGGGCGGCTACCCCTGGCCTCGTGTGAACCACTCAAACACATGTTTATACCTGATTGGTCAATAAGTGAGTCTGGCTACTCACTATCAACCAATCAGATGATGACACCTTGGCACACGCTACCCGTGTGCCACTTTACCTACTTATGTAATAACTAAAGAAATATCTACCTACTTATGTAATTGGAGTTGGGCCCATTACAGACAGCGTGCTATTCGCTTTATTTTTGTGACTTTATAACAGCGACCAGCAAGAAAATAACGCCGCGTGTGGGCTCATATTTGGGTTAGTTTTCGGAGTTTGTAGGTTTATTAGCGAAATTTTATAAAAATTACGGTAAATGCTCATTTCGATATGGCGATCCTATACATTGTGTGTAGCACTCGCTATTAATAATAGGTGCTCAATTACATAAGGTTTTACTGCTTGTTAAGTCGATATGTATCAAATCAGAGGGAAATGTCATCAAAACACTGGAAGAAACACGGTAACCAGCCAATGAGATCATTGTAATTTTTTGTGTATTGCACACAAAAACGAAATTCCTGTAAATTGGTGGGACAGAGAAGTAGTCTTTTCTATTTTTTATTTGTAAATTAGAATGGCAAGTTCACCGACGGTTTAGCAATTTTTCTATTAGCGATGGTTTTGAGGAGATGTATCTCCCTTCAGCGTTACGCTTTCACGTATGCTATTTCGGCTGCAGCTTGTCAGCGTATTGGTCAAGAGAACTACTGGATTATAATTTATTATTCTTAATACGAGCCTACCGAAAAGGACAGAAACATCGTCCAATCTTCTGCTATAAAATGTAATTTATAAAACAAAATCGGAAAAAGAAAATGAAGAGACATATTTTTAGATGAAAGTTATGCAAGTGTGGCTCAATTTCTGCATAAAAAGCAGGCTAGATTCTTTCAGCTCCTACGTCAGAGTGTTTCGCGCTTGTATTCTATTATATTTCGGCTAGGGTCCTGGCCTAATCCTACGCTTACCGATACGTGCTGGTTCCACCTGAAGATGCGGGCTACATAGTGCACTCTCGGTTGTTAGTGTCACGCTTGTAGGTCATGATCTAAACGGAAAGGTGTACGTATCGCGATAATGTCCTATCGGCGTCCGTGTAGAGTCGTACAGCGATTCGATACGCTTCCCGTCCTCTGTAGCTGCGCACATTTAGTGAATACAAGAAAATTCTTCATCCTGCCACCAGTCACAGGTACATTTGAATCGGGTAGGTTGACGAGCATTCACAAGGTGTGGAGTTTAAAATTATATGAGTATTTTGAATGGAGAGTAATACTTTTTTACAATCCAATCAGCACTTATCATTTATTCGCATGCGTACTTATGAGCTAAAGCTATCAGTGTACTGTGTGTTTCCACTTTGTATGGTAATTTTTTTAAAGATTGGGATTAACCCAGTACATATGTACTGTATTATGGAATTTCCTTCGCGTGACTACTTCGGACGGATACGGTTATTAATAGCCGGATAATTATGATGGGTTCAAACCACACCAGCAGAAGCAGCTGTTCTAAAAACCGTCAAGCAAAAAAGAGCTTTGTCGTTTGTCTTACCGGTATCAAATCTCCAAAGCCTATTCGGATCTCCAGCTGCACCGGATAGCTTAGGATCTCCAGCTGCACTGGATTATTAATAAGTACATCTCAAAACTGCGAAATTACCTCTTCATTTTGTTAACAGTAAATAATCGAATGGTATAAGGATGTAGTTGTAGAAAAGCTGTCCATAAATTTACGTATTATACAGGTAGCAAACAAAGAGGAGTATCCGCATCAGACTTACAGCATTTACATGTACACTACGAGTAAAGGGGGTACTGCGTCCAGAACAAGTATAATACAAAACACCCTTTTGAAGTTTTTAAAAGTACCCCCTGAAAATGAAGGAGATTCTACCAGGGGAGACCCATGCTCGGTTTTAATTAGAGATAACCTTGGGATGTGAAAAAGATTGCCCAATCTTAATGCACATACAAAAAAGTCAGTATAATCGCCACTCCCCTTTTCAATTTCTCAGGATTTCCTCTTTTCGGGCACGATTTTGAAAATTCCCCTGTGGGCATATTAATAACCAGCTTGATTACAGCGTTCGTAGAATCATACGAAGCGTCTCAAATCGTATGCACCATTTTAGCCGGTTTTTCAAAGCCAAGCGAAAGATGCCGTCGCATCTTCTCCAAATGCCGCATTATTAAGAGCTCCACCAGTTTGAAATCTTCGAGACCACAAGCACCGGTAGTTCCTGCCCCCACCTATCCGGATATGTGTATTCGCCAAGTCCTGATCCTATTCGCCCTCCTTGCTAGTTGCACCATTTCAATCGATGCAGAACAGCGGGTCCTCGTAAGCGAGCAGCGCACTGTGGACCGTGCGAGATCGTTGCGTGCCGCCGAGTCCACCAACAATGAAGAACGAATAATGACAGAAATCATCAAGCGTCTTAGAACGGCAACCTGGATCGAGACCGGGAGAACTGATGACTACGTCAAGACAACGCTAAGACTTGACAATCTCTCCGGGGCTGCGCTTAAATCTGCCCCAAATTACATGTACTATGAGCATTTTTTGAACGCTCTTGAAGGACGAATATTGGAGGTATGGCTGTCCAAGGGAGTTCCCACGAAAAACGTATGGGCAACGTACAAACTGGACGATATTCCTACAGCCCAACTCAATGACAACGATGGTTTCAAGACATATCTGCGCTATGCGATAATGGAGGATAACAAAATTTTCAAACTGAAAAGCAATGATCAGCCCGTAGCGATCGACTATAGCGGCACTCCAGCGGAGTTGAAAGCTAAGGTGGATATGTGGGTCTCGTTAAAGCGTCCAAACTATTATGTCAGCAGGATGCTGGATCTGGATCGCAGATCCATAAACACCTTCAGACGTAGTCCAAAGTTTCAGCTATACGAGATGTTTCAGATGAAAACTTGGGCGGCGAAAGGTTATCCAACGAATTATTTCTGGAAAGACCACAGGTTGCATGAGGTCCCGCAACAACAACTGCAGAACAATGGCCTCTACAAGAAGTTTGTGCGTTACGCGATGATGGTAGATGACGAGAGCTTTAAAAATGGGAAGACGGTCAAGATCACGGCTGACGAATCCAAGGCGGAGATCAGCACAAAAGTGACGATTTGGGCCTCCAAGGATAGACCTTTCGAGTACGTCAAAAAAGTGCTGGGACTGAGAGGTGCCGCAGACACGACTAATGCAAACTACAAGTACTTCGAGGATTTTTTGTTGCAGACAAATAGACCGAAGAAAAGTAAATAAAGCCAGCTCATACTTACCAGTTTACATTAAATGTACTTACCAGTCTACATGAAACGATGTTTTCTGCTATTGTATTGAAGCAGCTACTGCTTCTGATTCAGCACCTTTACAATATTTAGCACCTTGTACAGGAAAACAGGCTGCTATTTTTTTGATGATTTATCTTGCATCTCCGAACAAGTGCATTGGACAGCGATTTCTCCTGACATCCAAACACAATTCTACTAGTAGAACTATGTTTTAATGAATCGACGAACAGTAAATGCCCTGACATCCGTTTGAGATTTCAGGGCTCGGACACGTCGCTGCTTGAGTCCATTTGTGTCAAAGACCAGCATTTGTCGGGTCGGCTGTCAGCACAGTAGCGCTATCGCAGCAAACCTCGGCGAGCCCTGCAGTCGCGTACATTCCCGATTGCCACACCATAAAGGATGACACATCTCCCGACAAATGCACCGGCACAAAATCGATCTCTCCCGACGATTTATCCTCCCCGATGGCGTATCTGCCTTGACATTCCAGCCCAGCGTATAACACAATTCTCGAGTCCGAAGGGATGCTAGACCATACTGCTGATCGACTTTTGCTGTTCCAGCAGTCGGAAAGAGAGTAGCACCTTTGCGCTGTGCTGAAGGAAAACCTCTTGGATGGATCTCTGGGTTTCCCACCGCTGAAGATGCGCACACGCCATGCGTGACACTCTGCTCCGAGAATTATGATCATCACGATAGAGAGGCAAATGGATGACATGGTGTTGGGGCGGAGAAACCCCAGTTGCGGGAGCTATCCGCGGTGGTGTGTGTACATGTTGACCCCTCACGTTATTTCTGGTCAAAAATGATTCATTTCATCCGAAGATTCTGGCTATCGGTGCTCCAGAATTTCAATCCTGTGGCTTACACTGTTACATTTACTTTTTTTCGGCCAAGAAAGCATGCGCAACCAGCTCTAATGCGGTTGCTCGCTCTATCAGCATGAAATAAATACAAATTAGTCAGGGCAAGTGGCTCAATTTCCCCATAATGCTGTTGTACCTTCCGGGTCGATACAGAAACAGCGCTGGAGAAACGATTTGGCTTCGGACGACAAATGCTCTGGTAGCAGAGGTGGCGCTGTAGCCATCGCGATGGTATACATAGCGGCAAGGCCATTATGACAGTTTGGCCACGGATGCTTAGCTGTAGCCATCTCGATAACTGTTGCACCGATACTCCAAATATCAGCTTTGTACCCATGACCGATTTGTTTGACGACCTCAGGCGCCATCCATGGGATGGATCCTCGAATCGAACGCAAAGATTCCTCTAAGCTTGTGGTCAACATCTGCGGAATCTGCTTCGAACAGCCGAAATCGGCCAGTTTGGACACTCCTTGCTCGTTTACCAACACGTTCGCACCTGGTCGTTGGAAATCGAATTATTAGAGATGCATTAAACGTTCAGTTTTGACCCTTGTGTTTTCGTTCCAACCTTTGATATCCCGGTGAATTATACCCATCTCGTGAAGATACGCAACGCCCTGTACGATCTGCCGAGTAAAAATCCGAATGAGATCTTCACTAAAAGCGTCGAACTGCTTGAGCATACTACACATCTCAAGTTCCACATTAAGTGTCGGGCGGAGAGAGAGAGACACACACACACCACACGTGACACGCACCTGGCTATGGACCCACCAGGAACATACTCCATGAATATATAAAAATGATTTTCGGATCGATAGCTTCCCTTGTAGCTAAGACACGCACAGATAAAAGTACATTAGGTCGCACCCCTTTATAACCAAGGAAGACGTAAAAAACCGTGCTCAACAGACCGAACAATGTGCTTGTGGCTGAGATTATTCATGAGCGAGATTTCCTCGCCAAGCTTTTGCATCTGAGTGACCTGATCGTCATTAGGACGCGAATGAATTTCAATCTCCTTCAACGCAAACAGTTCCCCCGTCGCAATATTCAGTCCTTTGTAAACCTGTCGAAATAAAAAAAAAGTTGACCTTAATGACTTCTGCCTAATAGCATAAAAACAAAACAAGTAATGATCACGAACCTTCCCGAATGTTCCTTCACCAATGAGTTCGCCTCGTTTCCACTGTGTGATGGGGTTGCTGACTTCAACTGACGAGCTGGTATCAGTTTCTGTTTCCAATTGCTGGTTGTTTGTCGGCGGTGTGGTCCGTTGGCGAAGTGATACTTCTGGTAAGGAGGAAAATGCTGCTCCTGCACCTGGGCGTCTGATGCGCGGTGATGTCGATCTTGTAAGAGACATGGACTTGGGCATATCTAGCACCGACAAAGCTGCTAAGTGAGGATGTGTCACATGTAGCTGGGAAACCATTTCGCTAGGCGTCGGCGTATCTTTCGCATGTCTGGAGTTGGAGCTTCCTTTAGTCTCAAGAGACTCATTTCCAGTTGATAACGATGAAGAAACCAAGGGAGGGCTATGCGTGGGTTTCGACTCTCGGGTACTGGAACAGGAGAAAATGATGGCATCCGGCAAACTTTTGCTCTTGGCTGCTTTACCCCAAAGACCAAAACTGGACACGGCCCTGTTTTCGATCTGTGCTTCTTGTTCTTGAATCACTTGCTCGAAAACTTCTGAATTATTGAACGAGGTTTCTTCATTTGGGTTCCAATTGATCTTCTCAGTTTCATCACTACTGTCTTCTCGCTGCTGTTGGTCCTCTCTACGGGCTGTATGCCTCCTTGGACGTTCCGGTCTCTCACAAAGCTCGGCGAGTCCTACGGGATCCGTCGACGATGTTACTCGCTCGAGGTCTTTCAACACATGTGCGGAGATAGAAAAACTGCTACTGCGTTGTAAAATTCTGTCATTGTTGCTGGTTGGCTCCCTGTTGTTATACTCGCTGCTGTGTAGACGCTCTCGTCTCTCTGGTCTCCTCCCGGAAGGTGCTCGAGGTGTTAGCGCATTCGGTGCTGACAATAAAGCTCCGTCAGCTAGCGAGAGCTGTTTGAGTCGAAGATTCCGTCCACTCGAGCTGCGATGTAGCTCAACGACCGGAGATTGACGTAGCGCGTCCACTGCTCGATGACTACGTGGCGGTGTGTTGTCCTGTGGCATAAACGAAGTTGGTTCCTGGTCCGAGATCGAGGACGAAGCCTCTGGCATCGCAACCCTTCGCATCTCGCTGGAATTGTTGGATTCTGCATCGACCGAGTCGTCGTGGAGGGTCGGTTCAATTGCAGCGGATACTTTGATCCTGTCCTCGCTCGATAGTGCTGCATATTGAGAGATATCTTTACCAGTATCCATTTGAGCGCCACGGGATCGCACCTCAGAGTCGATATCGACTTGTAGCGATATACTAGACTAATCCAGCTGCAAACAGACGACCAGCCTGCTGCTTGAAGTGATCTGGGCGGGCGCGTGCCGTTTCGGTCTACTGCAGCAGCGAGTGAACGCTCGACTCGATTTGACACGCAACTCGACAATGGCGCTGTGGCGAACTCAAATCTCGGTGGTCTCTAAACCAAGTTGGTTTAGTCAATGCTGGTTTACATACAGGACATGTCGCCTTAACCGATTGATTTTTGCCAAATGTCGGCAAACCAGTCTTATTTTATTAGGTAAACGGCATTAGTGTGCGTGTGTGCTGTTGCCGACAAGATTCCATAGTGCCGAAGTTCATGAGTGGAGTAATACCGCTACGTCGTGATGATTCAAATGCTAATCGATAAATGAAGGGCTGACCAGCGGTAGATCATAGTTACCGATTAAGGATGAACGACTTCCTCGCCAGTGAGTTATTCTATGATATTTATCGGATATTGTCCACAAAATGGAAGGTTGAAACCCCCATTTTTGGTGTACGCTTTTTTATTTTATTTTTGCAGTATTTCTTACAGCTTTGCTAAATGCACGGCGCGTCCCAAGACTGCAATCCGTTTACGGTCTATAGTTGTTATGATTTGCCCTTCGTGAAGTACACTGCAATATGTTGTAACGATCGACCTTGGCCAGCACAAACCCACCCACCTATGGGTCGTAACTCTTCGAGGTTAAGCAATCAGCTCTTACCCCAGACGTTAGTTAAGTAATCGCTCATCAACGTCAATAAGGCGCCTCAAACGAGTCGTTTTCATTGATCACTTTTGAATTTGACCAAGATCTACAAGCTCCAAGCATTTCTTATCACGATGCCCACGACTGACAACGACACGCGCATGCCTCACCGTCTTTTAGGCAAGTCAGGGCTGATGGTCTCCAGACTTTCACTCGGCAGTTGGATGTGGGCCGACGACAAGTACACGCCCGAGCGTTAATACGAGATGATGAAGGTCGCTTTCGAGCACGGCGTCAACTTGTTCGATAACGCAGAAGCGTACGGCAACGGCCAGGCAGAACGCAACATGGGAGCTGCGATCCAAATGGGCCTTGCCGACGGTATCTGGAGTCGAGAGGACCTCGTGGTGACCTCGAAGGTCTACTTTGGCTCAAAAGGATACTTCGAAGGTGGTCCCAATGATCAAGGGGTGAGTCGTAAGCACATTGTGGAGGGCACGAAGGCCTCACTCAGGCGTCTGGAGCTGGACTATGTGGACGTCATCTTTTGCCATCGCTCGGAGCCGTACACGCCTGTTGAAGAGACCGTCCGAGCTATGAACTACGTGATCGAGCAAGGCTGGGCGTTCTACTGGGGAACGAGTCAGTGGTCAGCAGCGGATTTCATCGAAGCGTGCGAGATCGCCGATCGTCTGGGACTTATCCGTCCTATTGTCGAGCAACCGGAGTATAACCTACTGGAACGTAGCAAGGTGGAGCTCGAATACGCACCGTTGTACGACAAGTATGGACTGGGACTCACGACGTGGTCTCCACTGTCGTTCGGGATCCTCACAGCCAAGTACAGCGCAGGCGCGTCTGGAGCTACACGCATGGACTTGGCGGGGGCAAAGGCTTCCATCCCTGATTTCGACGACCGGGTGGCCAAGGCAGACAGTTTGAAGCCCGTCGCCGAGGAGTTGGGCTGCTCCATGGCCCAACTCGCCGTCGCTTGGTGCCTGTCGAACGACAAGGTGTCGACGGTGCTGATCGGTGCCAGTTCGACCGAGCAACTCAAACAGAACTTGAAGTCTCTGGACGTGGTCGCCAAAATGACGCCAGAGATCAAGGCCAAGATCGAAGCGGTGGTGCCCATTTACGTCAAGGCGCCTGCAGCTGACTAGCTGTCGGGTGTTCGTGCGCGCCACCTGTGAGTTGACGGGGAAGCATGTCAAAGAACTGTAGGCAACGAGACACCGCGAACCGAATAACCCTCCTCTGCATTTAACAATAAAACATGAACCAGACCCACCCATGTGCACACTTACATCATCCCTGCTCGTTTCTCAGCGAAGAGCTCGTCGGGTTTTGCGTCTGCTCCTGCCTCTCTTGGACAAGTTCAAGTCGTCTCCTCCCGATACACGGATTATCGCTCGACGGCAGCGGTAGAGAAGGTAGAAGAGAATGCCCATCAGCAGTGCTAGTGCCACGAAGAAGAAAATAAGACCGAATGGGTTAGGCACTAGCTCAAAGAGCGTCAAGAGAACGTTGATGAGCGGTCCAGCGAACAGCACAAGCATCACGAAAAGCGTGCAGAGGAAGAACGAGGCGAAGGCGCGATAGTACTTGGGACCCATCAGCGCTTCCAACACGTAGCAAGGGTTCCACATGGCCGAGAGATGAAGACGATCAGCAGGTTCCGGCAGGAATGGGAAGTTGTTGGGCTCTCCACGACCCAATCCAGCGGCTCGTACTTCTGCTAGATGTTTCGGTAGGATTTCCACAGACACCAGCAACTCTCCTGCGCGGATCCGGTCGCCAGTGTGCGAGTCGCGCGTTGTCATCGTGAGCCAACTGGCGTCTTCAGGGTCTTCCCCCATACCGAGACGATGCATGAACGACTTGACTAGCGACTCGGCATTTTCCATGTCTGCATCCAAATCTTCTGACTCGGTCTCTTCGTCGTCATCAACGTCAGCATTGTTACCTCCCGACAGCAACGGCTTCCTATCACTTCCCTTGTCTCCTTCCTCAGAGATTGAGATGATCACTTCATCAGCACGAGGCGACCTCAAACGAGCAGCACAACTGGCATCTTCCATGGCAGAATATCCCGAGCGACGTGAAGCCCCTTCATACGGCATACTCTCAGTGCCGCGGATGCGAACAGGCTTCGGTTTGGCGAAAACGTTGACCGCCTGCTTAGTCTTGAACGCCGTCTTGAGGAACGACGTCAAGTCCACGACTGCGTCGGCAAGACAATCATCGTATACGACATCGCGGTCCCACATCTGGAAGTGAAGGTAACCTCGATCTGCCTCCTTCTCCGGGTCCAGCGGCAACTCCACGTCGAACTTCATGCGCCAGTTAAAGGACGCCCGGCCACGTTTTGCTCTCCAGTGCGTGTCAGTGCTCTGCGACTTGTCATCGCGACTCTGCAGCCAGCACTTGACAAAGAGGTCGCTCAGATCCGTGAAATCTCCTGCAGTAACGTTCTTCGCCTTGTAGACGACAACGCGCACTTCGAACATCTGTGGGGGCGGCAGCGAGATATCGAGCGGCCTCACGACGTTCATCTCCTTCCCCGTGAGAACATCTACCCACAAACGAAGACTTCCTTGAGGGAGGGTACTAGAGGGGGCGAACAACGGACGGACTTCCAACGGCTTACGACGCTCCACCCTCTCCGGAGACAATCCAAGCTCTTGCCACTTGGCATCAAACCACCGATCCTCCAGATCGATGAGCGTGGCACCGACAAAGTCATCGCCATCCACTGTACTCCCAACTGCAGTGCTCAGCGCCTTACTTAGTCCAGTCGGGAGCGTCGGAATAGCAAAGAAATCGTAGTCCAGCACCTCCAGTTTCAGCTCTGAGGCGCCGGGTAGATCCGCTTTAAACTCGTACATCGTGTGGAACTTCGGAGTCAGAGTCTCAGGCTGGTAGTTGTCCCGGTCGTTGAACATTTGCTCACGACAGCGACCGTCTCCTAGACTCACACGGAGATAAGGATCGCATCGGTTGTTCGCGTCCTTCGGTTGCAAGTTCAGAGCGTCCAACACGTATACGCGAACAAGGTATGGCTGCGGGTTGAGGAACTGGTCCAAGTCGAAGAGAGGAGGATCGTCGCGAGACTTGAGGACACGCACGATGCCTTTGAACTTCCCGACGGGACGATACGTGTCAGCTGAGTCTTCGTTCGAGCCGCATCCGTCGTGTGACGACGAGGCTCCACGGAAAAGCGCAAAGGTCTCGAATGGAGACTTGAGCGTGTCTTCCAGCTCCCCCTCGACCACTTCGCGTTGATGCATGTAGTGTGGTAGCTCGTCGTCGTCGTCGTCGTAGATGCCAAAGCTCCCGGACGAGCACATGCCAGCCACCGCGATCTTTTTCGTCTTGCCTGAAGGTGACTTCGCTGCCACTGAGCTTGAAGATCTCGCAGTCAAAACATGAGTGGGGACTGTGCCCGGGAACGTTGACAAATCGTTTCCATAGTCCACGTACGGGTTGCTGCCACGAGTAACGTTCTTGCTGCTCTCCTCAACGTACAAAGGATTTGGTTCTCCATTCGAAAGCGGCATTTTCCTGCTCAAGTCCACAGAGCAAACGCCAATCACAGGCTTGTAGAAGCCACCAAGTAATTGATCGTACACTGTGATGTTGAGCCTCGGCGCGAAAAGCGAGTCGAGTGGCATCTTGACCGGGACAACAACTCGCTGCAAGAAGTTGGGGTTGCGGCTACTCGGCTTGGACGACGGGTTCGTGAACTTTGGCTTGTTCGTCTTGGTTATTTCGCCCACCTCAAACTTGGCAAACGGCGTGTTGATCGGCATGAAGCCTGTTGGTTGCAGCCCACGACATCCCAGACACATGATCTCGATAAACGCTTCCTCTGCAGGAGGACGAATCGACTCGGGAGGCTCCACGATAACTCCAGGCGTGTCTTTCTTGATGAGGTCGAAGGACAACAGCAACTCGCCTTGCGTATCTCCAGGCTTCTCGTAGCAAATAGGGTACCACTTAGGACGAGGCGCCGCGTATTCTCCACTGGCGCGAACCTTGGAATACACAGACGACGACATCTGCGGGAAGTCCACCAGACTGAACTTCAGGCCTCCAACGTAGTCATCTGCATCGTATCGATCCCAGTCGTAAACCTGCAGCGAGACCTTGGGTAGAAATCGCTCGTTATGGGGCAGCTCAACGTCAAGGACAACGGTCTCATAGAAGCAAGGATCTCTCGTTGACATGCGCGTGCTGACTTGACCCTCCGAGCCCACACAAGCCACCTTGACGTACGGGTCCAAGAGTCCGTCGTAGTCGGTAGACGGCAAGCATTTCCCTTGAAAAACGTGAACAAAGAGCACGTACTTCATGTACTGCACCGTCGTGCTCGCGTACTTTCGCCATTGCTGCGCCACCTCCTCCTCTCTCTGACCCTTTCGGTCGGCATCCTCAAGACGCAGGTTCATCAACACGTTACCCGTAAAGTCGTGGTCTCGGAGCTCATCCAGCACTTTATCTTCGTTGAGCACCACCCAGTGAGGCGGCTCAATGGCTTTGAGTGCCTCCGAATCTTGGCAAAACAAGTCGTGGGCTTTGAAGCGGGCGAAGCAGATGCAGCGCGACTCGTTCATCGTCTTACGTACGAGATGGACGAAAACGTCGGGAACTTGGTTCAGATCCTCGGGGAGTTCGACGTCCACGACGTCGATATACTGGTTGAAGTGGCAGATGCCGGACACGTTGTGCACTCGAGAGCTCTCGACACTGTGGCGACCCACGGAAATGTTGAGCGACATCCGCGTATTTCGGTTCCAGTTAGTTTTGCTCGTGAAGACAGGGATCTCTGTCCCGTAAAACAGAGCAGCACGCAGCGTGTAGCGCTTCATTCGTGGCGACACGGATGTGTTCAGGAGGTTGCGTACGTGTGCTTCGTCATTCACCGATTGCAGGCCGTCTTCAACGCGTAGAGACAGCAGAAGTCGTCCACGGTACGTACTGGCGTGAAGTGGATGATTCTGCATCAGCTGCAGCGGGCCAGAGTCAGTATCATAGCCCACTGGAGGACCATACAGGTTCGCCCAAATGTGCTTGAACTGGTTGGGATACCGCTGCACTTGCTTGAACGAGAAAGGCTGCAGGATGTTAGCTACGAGTTGATCGGCTGTCGTCATGTCCCAATCCCACATCGAGATGAAAATATTGTCGCTCATCGTTGGCAGAAGAATCGGGAACCACAGCTCCTGGTTGAAGGGGACAACGAGGTTTTCACTCCCTTTCACTGTCACCTTCTTGGTTTCCAGCACGTCCTGGCCAGCGAAGTACGCTCGAACGTAGCCGTCGATGCCTCCATGCATCATCATGCTGTAGTCCATGTCAGGCAGATCTTGAGCTCGATAGATGGTAATGACCAGGAAGTTGAGCTTCTGAGTCACGCGCGGTGGCACGAGCACCATCGAGTTGATGTCTGCCTTCGACTTGACCAAGTGCTCGTCCGGGTCTTTGTCTTCTGCAGGATCGTACAGCTTCATTTTATCTCCAGGGCCCAACACCACAAGAGAAAGTCTGCGAGACAAAGCAATGGCACACAACAAGTCAGCAATTACTCGCCCAGCAATGAGTCCGACAAGGTAGATACTGAGTATGCACTCACAGGACGTAGCCTTGGATGCTGTCGCTATTGGCTGCTCCACTGCCGACTAGAGCGACCCACTTCCGCTTCAATTCGTGGTCAGGCTGGAAGTACACGTACGGAATGTCCACCGAGAAGAAGCCAATGAGGTCATCGAGAGCTCGAGAGATCGCTGATCGGTTTGCGGACGAGCCAGGTCCATCGGCGTCAAACACGGAGATCTTGATGCTTCCCTGCTGGACAGTATCCTTGTCCAGCTTGCGAAAGTTAAAGTACAGATACTCGTCAAACACACACGACAGCTGTTTCTGCTTCACCACCGAGTGTTGACGCTGTCCTAGACACTCAACCGACACGACCGGATCGCACAGACCGTTAGCGTCCATGGGCTTCAAGTCGCGCACTTCAATGATCCGCACGCGGACCTGGTAGTCGCCGGACAGAAACTGCACATTGGACAGCTCTGCCAACATCTTCTGACGCTCTTCTTCACGCTGCTTACGTTGAGCTTCGGCTTCCTCCCGTCTTGCATCGACGTCATCGTCGTCTCCATCGTTGGCGTCTTCGTTCGTGTCTTCACTGGGGTTAGCGTCGTTCCCACCATCGTCGTCGCCCGCATCGGAGCTTCCTGGACGACGCAGGCCTCGACCACTCGGCACTTCAGTCACGTTGTCGGCTTCTCCCTGCTCCAAGCTGCTGATATCCTGGTCGATGTACTGCATATCAATAGCCAGGGAGATCTTGCCGTTCCCATAGTTCATTTTGCGTTGGGGGCTGATGTCACTCGGCGCGTCCTTGTCCTTGGATTCCGGCTGCTGCTCCAACGCCAGCCAGAACGCCTGCTTGTCTCCTTGGAGCCGTTTGGCAAACTCGTCCAGATCAACGACACAGCGTCCCATAAAGTCGCTCGTGAGCAGATCGCTGTCTTCCATGGTCAATTCCAGTAGCTGCTTCTCGCCCGGAGTGATCGTAAAGTAAAACCTCTGTCGCCATGACGGATGCAGCGTCTGCTGCTGCGTTTTGGTCCGTTGCGACTGGTTCTTGGTGCACGAGAGACGCACGTACGGGTCGCTCGTAGCTTCAATGCCCGAGCCGTCACAGGCAAGCAGCCCCGTCGCCTCCAGAATCGTCACAACATAGAAATTCGGAGGTTTCGTCGGCTCCTCTTTCTCTGTTTCCACAGCAGATGTAGTTGATGCTTCTGCTGCAGCTTTTTCTTCACTAGCGACGGGTATAGCACTGTTCCTCGGGGAAACTGGAGCCGACAACTGTTTGGGCGACGCTGACTTCTTCTTGGGCGTCTCTGCCCCTGATTCTTTCCGTGGAGGGGCCATGAACTTGGGCTCGTACGTCACCTGCACTATCAGCTCACCGCATTCCTACAGCAGCAGCCATCAATACTACTATATCATTACACTACGAGGCATCACAGTGCCTCCTCCCTCACCTTTCCGGCGGCGTCCAGCAGCGGCAACTTGTGCGTCATCTACAGCCACAGCACATATAACGTCAATACATTCACTCCAGCTCAAGTCTCCTCCACTGTCTGTACCTGCGTATCCGGCATTAAAGTCTCGACCTGCAATGACGCGCTGCCCAGTAGCACGTCCCGCCCGCGCTCGTTGAGTCCGAAGACCTTGAAGTTGACAGCATCACCAAGCGGTTTCTTCACGCCGAACGTGAAGTTCTGCGCCCACTCGGGAGTCGCTGTCTTGGCCTTAGCAGCTGTACGCAGCACCACGTCACCGCACTGAGCCTGGCAGTCTGCAAACACAGTTCGAGTGAGAGAGACACACACCCAGAGCTGCTGATAGACTACACACAAGGGTCGAAGGCCGCGTCGCCGCCTGCTTGTGTCTCGCCGACGCCCGTGGCGCCCACCACCACCAGCCGAACGCGAGGAGTCTCCACCTCGGCCATCGTCAAGGCTTCACTTGGGTCAAAGTGCGGAAAGATCGCTATGCTGATTTACTTCAACACCATTTGCACATCAAATTGACCCTCACTCTCTTGGAAAAGAGTGAGGGTCAGTTTGATGTGTAGGTGGTGTAGGCGGTCTTTATTATTTCTAACATCCTCTAGCTAGAACAATGCGTCTGCTGCTTCTGGTCGTAGCGCTGCTAGGCGTCACCGCCGTCTTCGCTGCAGACCTCAAGCTGCAGCTGGATGCGGACCAGCCTGTCGCCGTGACACTCGCAGATGGCACTACACGTGAACTGACTGCTGCTGAGTTCGAGACGTTGGCCACGGAGCGCGCGAAGGAACAAGCCACTATACAGACCAAGGACGACGACGAGACTGTTGAGTGGAAGCACCAGGAGCTGAACGAGATCCAAGCGAAGGACCCGCAGTTCGCGCTTCTCATTGACCTGGCCAAACGCGCCTTCCAGGAGATACAGCGTCACGGATACGCGCAGGGTTACGCGCTAGCGGGGTTTAGCGAGCAGGAGGCGAAGCAGACTTCAGCCGACTACTACGCGGAGCTGGTGCTGCGTGCCAAGAAGGAACCAAGTAGTGGCGTAGCAGCCAAGACGGGCACAGGTAGCAGAAAAGTTGAGAAGGAGGGAGAGGAGACGCCGCTGAGTTACGAGGTGCAGCTTCTATTGGATGCCAAGAGTACGTTGTTGTTGACTGGGGGAGTTGCTGTGTTGGGCTGCTTGACTTATATGTTGCTGACGGTGACCTATGATAACAGAACGCTTCTCGGTGGTTGCAGCTTGGGAGTTGAGCGAGAAGGAGCCACCGCGAGGGCAAAAAAAGAAGCGAATGATGCGGCTGTCCATCCAGCCGACTGCGGCGTTGATGGAACGCGAGGCCAAGCGAGATCAGGGCAAGCCAGCGGTGGCGATGTGGCTATTGGCCGGCGGCATGGCAATGGTTGCAGCGGGTGTGCTCGTCATGTACAACACGCGTAATCCATCCCCAACGCCGAAGCCGCGACGCCGCTCCAGCGACGTCTGGGAGCTCGTGGACGAGAACGACAAGCCAATCAAAACGGACGAGCCCGAGAATTCAATCAAGACGGACAAGGTCGACAAGAAGAACGACTAGTGCGGTGCATAACGCTTACCAGGTATATTCAGTCGGCCGATTTGCAAAGTTTGTTTGTGAGACGGAGAGTTTTCTACATTTGTTGCAAAATGCAATGCCTGATAAAGGATCCTGCTATGTAGCAGCTTGTCACGCTTGGCTAGTCGCTGGCTGCACTGCAAGTTACAGTGCAACCTGCAACCTCACAACGCGACCTTACGAAGTTAGCCATTACACTCGCAATAGACACGACTGGAGTTCCAATCGTAGGAGCGGGGTCGTCGATAGCGAAAGTGAAGACGAAAGTTCCGGCATCTATTGTGGAGCTTTTAGCACAGTACTGGTACAGTACATGTATGCGTTTTTACCGTTTGCTGGATCTCTTGGAGTATATCGGGCGGCAGACGTGGAGAATGTGGGTCGTAGTATTGTGTGGAGGGCAAGTTTCGCTTTCAAAACATCTGCTTGTCTGGCTCTAGCTGATTGGCTGATGCGATTTGCCTCTTTTCTGCCAATGACATTAAAATTCTTCAACGGCATACTAAGTGCAAGTGCTCGCTTCTCGGTCACTAAATCAGACGCAGGCAGCCAGTCAGTCTCCACTATCGATTCCAACGCGGAAGTGCGTCACCATGGCGACGCTAAGTGTGCTGATCACGGGCTTCGGCGTTCGCGATGGCGCACCCGACAGCGTGGTACGTCTGTGTGTGTGCTATATTGATTGCAACTTCTCTGGGCGCTCACGGGTCTGTGGTTGCGTAGGTTTTCCTGGGCACAGTACAGCAAGGCGGCGGCAGCTCGTGGACGATCTACCGGCCGTTTGAGGCCTTCCAGCGGCTTGGACAGCAGCTTGCCATGATCTTTGGCCAGGCTGTGCCTGCGTGTCCTCCGCGAATGTTCGACGTGCGCTTCCCAGACTCGCTAGAGAAGGCGCGTGTGGATCTGAGTATGTGGATGATGCAGCTGCTGCAGCACCCGCCAATCTACCAGTCGCATGTGTTCGTGGACTTTGTCAGTTCCGACGCCAATATGCCGCCTCCAGGAATGCAGAACGCGGCACAGACTGCAGCACGCAACATCGGAGACCTCGACATGGACGAGATGTTTGGCTCCACTACAGACGACGACCCTCGCTCGCACGATGAGCTTCACGATGACGACGTATGTGCGCTGCGATTGGCAGTAAATATGAGGGAGTCTGATTAACTGTTTTTATCGACTGCAGATGTTCCAGTTCGACTACAACACGGACATGTCTGGCGCTGGGCTGGACCAACAGACGCTACTGGAAGAAACGCAGATGCAGCACGAGCAACAAGTACAAGAACAGAAGAAACGCAGTGAGAAGGTCACTCTGGAGGATTTCGTCATGATTAAAGTCATCGGCAAGGGGAGTTTTGGCAAGGTTTTACTGGTGCGTAAGCGAGACACTGGCCTCATCTACGCCATGAAAGTTCTGCGGAAGGAAAACATTATCAAGCGCAACCAAGTGGAGCATACACGCACAGAGCGTCACGTTCTGGGCTACGTGCGTCACCCGTTCATCGTAGGACTCAACTACGCCTTCCAGACGTCCGAGAAACTATACTTTGTGCTCGACTACTGCGCAGGAGGCGAGTTGTTCTTCCACTTGGGCAAGGTGCAGAGGTTCCCAGAACACCGCGCCCGCTTCTACGCTGCGGAGATCACGCTAGCGATCGAGTACGTGCACAATTTGGACGTCATCTATCGCGATCTGAAGCCGGAGAACGTGTTGCTGGATGAGAATGGACACATCCGTCTCACAGACTTTGGACTGTCCAAGGAAGGCATCCAGGACGACTTCTCCGGTGCGAATTCGTTCTGTGGGACACCCGAATACCTCGCGCCCGAGATTTTGAACCGCTCGGGCCACGGGCGAGCTGTGGACTGGTGGTCTCTGGGGGCATTGCTGTATGAAATGCTCACGGGTCTGCCGCCGTTCTACTGCCGGGACCGTGACCGTCTGTTCGAGAAGATCCGTAAGGGCGATCTCAGCTTCCCCAAGTATCTCTCGCCTAACGCCAAGGACCTGCTGAAGAAGCTGCTGGAACGTGACCCGACGCGACGTCTGGGAACGGGTCCTACCGACGCTCGAGAAATCAAGAACCACCCGTTTTTCGCAGAGATCAAGTGGGACGCGTTGGCCACAGGACAATTGCCACCTCCATGGCGCCCAACGTTCTCGGGCGCACTTGACACGTCCCAGTTCGATCGCGAATTCACGGATATGCCCGTCGTGAGTCCAGACAACAACGTACGCGGGATGGCGATGGCTATGGGACGACGACCTGCCAATGGCAACGCATACGGCAGCAGCCTCACAGGCAACGACCCGTTCAAGGGCTTCACGTACACGGAAGATTCGTATCTACAGGACGGACTACCAGGTCGCAGTCCTGCGCGGGGAAGTGGCCGTGTGCGGCACCACAACATGTAGCCACACTCGAGGCACGCTGAAGCGGGAGTCAATAAGGAGAGAGAGATCCAAGACATTGTATTGGACGTTGTAACAATGTCTGGCTTGGGGGGACTGACTCCATGAAGTTGAGAAACCCTCATCAGACTGTAGGGACAGGAACAAAAGGCAAGGGGGCAAAGGGTATGTACATATATTCGCTGAAACTTCTGGAGCAAACGTCAATTTAGAGGTAAAAAACCGTTTTCAGCACTATGAGGCTTGGCCACTCGATATTGACATTCACTCTGCTAGAGTGCTGGTCTCAATCTGGTTTGCCATGACCCGAAAGAGCCGTTGAAACAGTTCCGGTGAGTATTTGTCGAAGTGAGTTACAGCCATGTGATTCCTCTCCACACGATGAACGTACCAGACCCCGCGTCGCAGCGTGGCGAAGGCGAGATGATCCGTTGGGTCACTGGGGTTGAGCTCATTGAGCTCATCTCGGTACAAATCCGCAGACACTTTCTTTGAAGCTGTCGTGACGTCGGCTTCCTGCGAGAGTGACGAAGATGTGGACGTTGTCGATTCGGAGTCGCCGTCGGGCATGACGGAAGCCCACGGTTGCAACATCGAGTAGAGGTTTACAGCTCCGTCGTTGTCGCCCCACAGGGTCCGATCGAAGCCGTCAAAGATCACATGAAGTGTGGCAACATGCCGTCGCATGACTAGCAAAAGCGCATAAAGAGAAGGAATCGACGCGTAGTCCAACGCTCGAAGTCGACTATAGAGAACGGGGATCAGTACGATCAATGCTAAGGTAAACAACAACCTCATGGGCCTGCAAACTACAGCAGCAACCATCAGGACGAAGACGACGAGTATCAGAGCGATCTCGACTGGAGGCAGCGTCACGTGTAGAAGTTGCCACCGAGACCAGGAAGATCTTGTCCATGTGGATGAGCTCAGCGTTGCGCGTCATGCGTTCTCGAGGCAGGAGGTTGAACACCGCGAGGTCGGTGGAGCTGATGCGACCGTAGGGCGACAGGATCTCGCGGAATGTATTGACACACTGCCATTGCGGCATTTTAAAGTCGAAGATTTGACGAAGTATAGGCCAGTCGGTGTGCAGCTTGAACCAAACACCCAACGCAGCGCCGATAAAGTGTCCGAGAGAATACGGCACCATTTGCAGGTCGTGCAGTCCGAAGAGATGCGTTATCGTCGAGCCTGTGAGTGGACCAGCGACGGAGACCAAGCTCATGACCCACCGATGATTACTGCCGACACCAAAGAAGCCGGCGCAGATTAACTGATACAACTCTAATGCAGTGGTGGCCCCGAAGCTGTGACCTACTAAGTGAACGGGGATGCAACGGGCTTTCGTACGTAGCTCCAAATCGGTTGTGTCCTGCTTCTCGACTATGATCTTCCCCGTAGTCAACTTGCCCTCCATACAGCTGATAAAAGGCTTCACAAGCGCGATCGTGGTCGGAGCTTAATGCCCCAACGTCGACCATGAGATGGTTCTGGTTCATCGTGTTCAGCGCTTCCTCTGGCCAGTAAGGCGACCACAGATTCCAGAGTGGACGAGTTCTACCATACCCGAAGACTCCATGGATCAGCACAACGGGGAAGTTGGTGGGGGTTGATGCCATGTTTTGGTTGCTGCTTGGTGATGCTGGACGGACGACGAAGATTGGGGAATGACCTGGGCAATCGGTCGGCTCGTTGGCAAGAATGTTTGCAGTGTCGGACCCGATTAAAGTCCTACGAATGCCATCGAACTTGAAAGAACGGTCAAAGATAGGCTAGATATGGTGGATTACATCTACCATGGAGATGCATGTCTTTAGTAGATTTATGACCCTCAAGTCCTGTGTGTCGCACTCGATATGCTATTTGTTATTTTGTGCTTGCCCAGTAATAATTTGCTTCGTCACTCACTGCGAAGACTCTCTTGGCTTTGATTTCGACGGAAAACCCACAAAGTTTTCGACTTCTGACGGGAAGCCTGGCGTTCACAGTTATCAGAGAAGGTCGTGGAGACCGAATCCTCGTCGCTTTGTTCGTACTCTTAAGCAATTCGTGTGAACAGATCTCTGTATAACGCACAGGCGTCGTTGTCCCAATACGTCCCAGCGAAGTGACTCGCACGGACACTCCACACGTACCAACGGCCTTTTTCTAGTCGAGTTGGCACTTGCTCGACTATTTGTCTCTTCAAGTTTGGGTGCCACGGCTCCCTCATTGAGTGCGTATTCACACAGCCATCGTTCAGTATCCAATCACTAGGATTACAGCCAGGAACCACAGGTGGAGACTTTCTAACATGGTAGTGATTAATCCACTTGAAGACGTTCAGGATCGACACCGTCATGGAACTCATTCGTCTGAGTTTGTGCAGCAAGAAGATGGCGAACAAGACGCGTAGAAATCGGAATTTTGTGAAAAACTCCAGCCAACTTCGGAATTCCCCATGACGAGAAATTATCAGTAGTAGTAGAGACAATGCCATACCGTCTCGAATCGGTGAAGCTTTAAACCCGGACGAGGACACAATGGTCAATAAGTGCAGCTTGTCCAGGTGCTCGAGTCGAGCGTTGCGTTGGATGCAGCGAGATGGTACCATATCGTGCACTCCCAGGTCTTTGGATTCGTTCACGGGTCCGTTCACAGCCAACATTTCCAACATCGACACATTGCTCCATTGATCCCAGTGAATATCGCACGCTGGTTTAAGTACCGGAAACACTCTATAAAGCTTGAACCACACCACAAAGGCGGCATACAGGAGATAGATCGGACTGCCTCGAGTCATTTTACCATCCGCAACCCCAACCATGTGAGCCATTGTGGCTCCTGTAAGCGGTCCAGCGATCGACACGATGCTTTTCACCCACCGATAGTCGCTCCCTACGCCAAAGAAATCAACACATAGCAACTGGTACAGCTCGAGAGCTGTAGTGGCTCCAAAGCTGTGCCCCACCAAGTGGACCGGATTGGATTCGTTCCAGTCCGAATGCAACGGGGTTTTGTATGAAGCACCGTAGCGTTCGTGTCTAGTTTCTCGACTGTGCTGTTCACCGTAGTCGACTTGACCCCCGTAGAGCTGGTAGAAAGCTTCACATGCTCGATCGTGGTTCGAGCTTAATGGGCCTACATGCAGCACAATGTGGCTCTCGTTCAAAGCGTTTAGCACCTTCTCAGGCCAATACGGCGACCAGCGATTCCACATCGGACGGGTCTTGCCGAAGCCAAAGACGCCGTGGATGAACACGACAGGGAGCTTGGAAGTGGTCCCAACGGTTGGAGGTCTCCATCGTACACAGTCAAATTAAAAAGAAAACTGAAATATTTGTTGTTGTCGAGGTCGAGTTCCATCGACTCGTCCCACGATGTTGTACTCTGCCTTTTCCTTTTGTGAAGTTTCAATTTTTCATGTAACATGCAGTACTGTGTCATTAGCTGTAGAACGGAGCATTACCGTGGCGGTTTGTTTAATGACACGCGCCACTGGGTTTTGAACTCGTCTCGTTCGTACTCTTTGCTCATCAACGTGAATAAACTCTTGTACAGATCGGCTGCGTTGCTGTCCCAGAAGGTTCCAGCGAGGTGGTTGCTGTCCACACGATAGACGTACCATCGCCCCTTTTCAAAGCGTTTGGCCCCGTGAGCCTGCTGCTCGTCGTCCGTATCTCGGTTGAAGCCATCGATGGAGATGTGAGACTCGCAACGTATCAATACAGTGTCTTTCAATGACGAAGAGGACGATGTCGCTGGAAGAGAGGGCGCCGGTGGTCTCAAGTCGTTGCTGCTAAGTGCTCTCTCCATCTCTTGAGGCTTGGGAAACCACGGTCTCAACATGGAACGGATGTTCACGACGCCGTCGTTGTGTTCCCAGCTATTAGCCTCAAAGCCGTCGAAGATCATCGGAAGACTGCGAGCACGACGTCGAATGAGCCACTTGAGCCCGTACATGGACGGCATCTTAGACACGTCGAGTTTCTTGAGCTTAAGCCACAAGTAGCACACGACCAAGACGCTAGCAAAGACACGGAAAGCGCGACGTCTAACCAGCGCAGGGCACCATTTCGGAAACCGATTCCAACGTAGCAATCCCAGCACGGCAAGAGCCACACCTTCGCCAAATGGACGATACACCGTCTTGGGCGACGTGGTGATACTCAGCAAATGCAGTTTGTCCATATTTTGCAGCTGAGCGTTGCGCGAGATGCGGTACTCTGGTATCGTGCCATGCACGACCAAGTCTCTCGATGAATTGACGGGTCCATCGGCTGCTAGTAGATCTTTGAGCGAGTATCTGCTCCATTGATCCATGCGGAGATCCGCTGCGTTCTTAAGTATTGGAATCTTCCAGCACAGTTTAATCCACGTGCCCAACACGATGGACATCAAGTGAACGATGCCTCCAGGCACCACTCGGCTGGTCTCCATACCGATCATGTGTGTCAACGTTGAGCCAGTCAACGGCCCCGCAATGCACGTGATACTGGCCACCCACTTGTGGGAACTGCCAACTCCGAAGAAATCCGAACTCAGCATCTGGAACAGCTCAATGGCCGTCGTGGATCCGAAGCTGTGTCCTAACAAGTGCACAGGGTTGTCTTCGCCCCAATCGGGGAGCAAAGCCTTGTCGAACGTCTCTCCATAGCGATCGTGGCCTAAGCAATTCTAACGTCAGTTTGTTTTTCTGCAAATTTCGTTTTTTTTCCTGCCAGATAGATAGATACATATAGATAGATACCTGTGTCAGTTGAATGTTTCTCTCCGTAGTCCACTCGGCCCCCGACCAACTGGTAGAACACCTCGCAGGCGCGATCGTGATCCGAGGATACGGCGCCTACGTCCACTAGCAAATGGTTGGGGTTAATATCCTGCAGCTCCCGCTCGGGCCAGTATGGAACCCAGTGACCCCACAACGGCCTCTGCTTCCCGAAGCCGAAGACGCCTATTAGACATTAGCGAATGATTGGATATCTGTGGCGATGCACTGGATGGAGTTATGGCTGTCCTGGTAGGACTCCTACCGTGGATGAGGACGACGGGGAACTTGGTGCGTGCGCTCATTCGGGCAGCACGGAAAGTATAGCGAGGCGGCGGTGACCCAACGAGAGCGGTAAACTTCAACGTGACAAGTCCGACGTGACACCTAATCAGCGTCGAGAAACTGAAATCTTTTGAGTTTTTTTAGGGTTATCGAGCAAATAAAAACGATTGCAGAATCAAGATCAATTAAAATACAAAGAGTTGCCCGAATGAAAATCTGCCAAATCTGAGTCGAGTCGACCCTAAACCTTTTCAGATAAATACCCCTTTCCGGACAAAGTATACCGTATAGTAAAGGGGGGCGACCACACATTTTTCCCGCCTCGGGGTCTGAATACTGCTGGACGATCGCCACGAATCTGCGCGTGCTGCCGAGCGTGGGTCAGCCACAGGGCAAGAATCGATCGGCGCAAACGTTGTAGATGGAGCTAAGGGCGCGGACGTCTCAAAAACGTCGTGGATCAGGGTCACGAAGCGATGATGACGCATCCAACGTCTTGGTCGAGTCCAGCGAAGAGGAATTGGTCGACGAATCGCTCCCGATGGAATCTGGCGACAACAGCAGCCACTCCAGCGACTGGACCAACACCGACGAATCTGAGTCTATCAATGTAACGCTGGCTGTGCCTGACAAGCACCACTTCACATCGTGGGACGCTTTCCACTCGTATTTAGACCGGTATTTTGCCGCATCTTACCAGGTAAAGTGGATTTACACTGCAATAGGCTTCTTTGCTGATCCCATTGTGTGCTATGAAGGTCTTCCGTGTTCGTACAAACACGACCGTTGAGCGTCGTAACACAGACATCCGAAACAAGAGCTCTAAAGCACCTGAAATCCCGTCCGAATGGAAATACTACGCGAAGACGTTAGTCTGTACTTGCTTCGGCAAGTACAAGTCGAAGGGAAAAAGCAAGCGCCCACGTCAAGAGACCCGGTTATCGGACTGCAAAGCCCAGGTAAGATACGGCTTCAAGTTTTACTTCTGCTCGGGTTCGTTCGGGTTTGTTCGGGCATTGCGGGTACTATTGTCTCAATTATCGGTACTAACGTTAATAAATCTGGCATAGATCAACGCCTGCGTTCGACTAGTTGACAAAGCCAAGCACGCGTTTGCAGTTTGTATCACAAAGTGTAACCCCGTACACAATCATGTCGTCAACCGCCAAACCTTCTGCACCAATGCTTCTAAGTACAAGGTATTTTCGTTCATGGCGCACGATGTTTTCGGCCACGGACAGTTTGTTCAGCACGCCCTTCTGCAGAATGAACGTCGTCACATTTTCAATACTGCAATCGAGGAGTTTAAGCAGAACAATCCGGCATGGACTCGAGTCCAAAGCATACTTATCGACAAAGACTTTACGGAGTTGTCGGTACTCAGGGCAGCGTTTCCGGATGCCTCTATACTGCTCTGTCAGTTTCACGTGTTGAAGTATCTGAGAGAGGCTGTGGCACCTACAACCGCGGTTAATATGAGACCAACTGTGCCTGAACCGAGACCGATTGTGCCCGAACATAGCATTTCTGCACTATCAAAACCAATCAATGAAACACCATCAGTACCTCAAGCCAGTGAAGGAGATCAACAGGCGACTACATCCAGATTATCTACAGTTGATATTGAAGACAGAGATGTGGAGTTCGAAATTGCGAGTCCAGTGCGTCAACGAGGGAGACCTAAAGTCACGCCAAAAGCAAAGAAAGCAAACCGAAACAGGCTGATTCGGAGTGTAGAGGCAGATTCAACGCTGTTTGACTTGCAAATAAGCTTGCGGTCCGTTTACGAAAGCCTTTCCACGAACGCTACCTATTCATCCTCCGCTGAACTTGCTCGACGACTACAAGTGTATACATTTGGGACTAAGCCTAAACCCCCAGTGGCCCGACAGACGAGCAAACTCCCTGCAGGCAAGACGCTGACAGACTCAAGTTTGCTGACTCGAGTGCTTTCCAAAGACATACTCAGAAAGTGTGACGCGAAGGTTTCCGCGCTTCAACGCAAAACGTCTGGATTATCGGAGAGAGACGTATCGGTCGAGATTATTAGTCTGGGTGTGTTCTCAACAACGACATTACGAATGATGAAAGGTTGGCATCACGCAATTACAATCTTCGACTCTATTGACAAAACGCTGAACTGGATCAGCCGAATCGACTTCACCCAGCCGCTTAGCCCGGACTACACTATTGAGGCAGACCATGAGATACCAAGCAAGCTTAAGCAGCTACAGATTCGCTCTGACTCGGTACGTCATCTTGTCACTGTACTACCTCGAAATAAGGCGAGTAAGACTAACATTGGAGCACAGATACATCTACTAGACCTTGCTGCCAGAGGGTCACTCGGGGACGAGTGCATGTATGCGGTGGTGAACGTGATGTTTGCGTCCACACCAGGGGTGGTCACCATTGATTCGAGCCACGTCGGTGTAGTTGTCAACGGAAAAAACACTACAGACATGGAGGGCCTTGCGTCTCTTTTTGCCGGGGTTTCGGACGAAAAGGTGCTCGTTCCCATCAATTGTAATGGAAATCATTGGTGCGCTATCATGATCGACCTATCGACCGAAAGCGTATACACTTACGACCCGATGTCATCATCCTATGCGGCCAGCGTCCGAGCTATCGCGCACAAATTGGTGGGGGTCCTACCGATACCGAAGGATAGGTATCATCACCAGTCGTATGTATCGAGCATTGGTATCCAGACCGACAACTACAATTGTGGCATTTACGTTCTCTTGGCATTCGAAGCCTTTACGGGAGCTTCTGACGTGGGATATGTGAACAAGCAAAGGTTGCAGCTTCTACGATACCGGTACCTCTGTATGTCTGTGTAAGTTTCTTCGGCATAATATGAGACTTTACATTTCTGATGCATTTTACTCTGACACTGCCTGGGATGTCATTGAACTTGGCTACACTTCACTGAACTATTTATCCAGCTATACATGATTCGCATGTATACATCGAATGCCCCCATTCGGGTAGCTCGGACACATTCGGGCGCACTCGGGTGTGTGCCAATCCTAAAGCATGTTGCCATTCGGGTGATATAACGACTGCCAAATAAAAAACCAAGAGGGTGGCCGACGTGAGCTAACAGGGTCATATTAGCCCCAGCAGCGACTGTAACGGAGTACATTCCAGTGTACCCAGGTTACATAAAGCGCGACCCGTCACACCTGGTATACTGTAGCCAGGGCTCCTCCAATTCAGTATTAAACGGGATTGCACACTTAAAGTAGCAGTAATAAAAGCCGCAATACCATGCCAAACAATAATTAAAAAGGCCGCAAATACTGCAATTCATTGTTATTCCTTTAAGTGTAACGGGGTACGTAGCCCTAAGTGTACCCTGGTTACACGAAGTGTTACACTTCACACTTCAGGAGTATGACACGTCATACTCCGAGATATTTGGTACAAGGTACCAAGGTCGTTCATTGGTTAAATGACATTGCATTTCTATAGGTAACTAACAGTTTGTATTAAACCCAAACTTAACCTACCTATAAATATACTCAGTTTACAATCTACCTTATTTAGGTCACTTCGCTCTCTTTAATTAAAGAGGGGACCTGTGAACTGCTGTTCACTGAGAGTTTGTATACTCTCGGAAGATAACTTCCTCTAGCGCAAGGTGCTGTGTGACCCCGTCACACTTGGTAGCACTTGTTGGTCAATCCACGCCACCGCGGGTAGACTACCTGAACCTCTCCGAAGTTCGTTGCCATGGATAGGAACAACTTCTCTCCATATGAACGACTCTCAGTTCGAGTCGGTTCGGAAGATGGCAGGCATCTTCGGGATGGAGGCCCTGCAGAGCCTGGTGGTGTCAACACCGGCCGAGCAGCTCGAACGCGTCAATGTGTTCGACGCGTTCGAGCAGGGCCTCATCGCGCATGTGCGGGAGAACCTGCAGGCTCCGGCGGCGGAAGCAAATCCGCCTCACCCGAAGCCAATACGGCTGAAAGGTTAAGCCGTATGAAGGGAAGGAAAGGCGAGAACCTTCACTTCTGGGTCCGAGAAGTAGAGCTCGCGATGGACGCGGCTCTGATCTCGACCGAGCAACTTCGTGTTGCTTTTGCACTCGCCAACCTTAGCGGCCGTGCTAAGAGTTGGGTGGACACACGGGAAGCAATATCCCCTGGATGTTTCACATCCTGGGCTCAGCTGTGCGAACAGCTCCGAGCCGCGTTCCTCCCGGCGAACTACGAGTACCGCCAGCGTTCGCGCTTCCTCTCGTGTAAACAAGGAAGGCGCGAACTGCACGAGTATGTGTAAGAGATACGGGAGCTCACGGCGTCCTTAGTGGGAAACCCACTCAGCGAACACATCAAGATGACTGTGTTCATGGACGGCCTTCGAGTGGGCCCCACACGCACTCAGCTGTTCCGGGTGCAGTCAAGCACCCTTGAAGAGGCAAGTGGCTCTTCAAGAAGAGTACAGTCATCGCCAGGCGCGTACGCCGGCCTCAGCATGGCCTGGGAGTTCCTTGTCGGCTCCCGGTCGAACAAGCCCCAACGGACCAGTTCCCCTTGGAACTCGTGTCCGCCGAACAGCGTGACATCCGCTGCTTCGGCTGCGGGAAGATGGGCCACTTCAAGCGCGACTGTCCCGCGGACAGACTCCGCAGACGGTCCTTCCCCAAGCCCGTCCTCAAGGGTCGCTGGCAGAAGCCAGCATCCCGGGGACAAGGGAACGCCGGGAACCAGTAGGAACGGGGCGCCCTACTGGGGAAGAACTAAGTCTTCGTGATGGGTGCGCGGGTGGCGCGTACCACGGGGACTTAGCCCCTAAGAGTCTTCGCACTCTCGAATCGGCGAAGAGCAGCGGCGGGTTGCTCGTAGTACACGGATATGTACGGGGATACGATCATCCCTTTAGAATCTTGATTGACTCTGGGGTGTCGAAGAATTTCGCACGCCGCCAGACGGTTGCTCGTAACAGCAACAAGTTGTCCGATGCTTTGAGAGAAAGCAAGGGCAACGGGACGGTGTCAGTGCGACTGGCC